ATTTAAAGGATGTGTGGATGTGGCACCTGGGGACATGGGCTTGTTTTGGGAATGGTTGGACTCAAAGATCTCAGAGGTCTTCTCCAACCTGAAGGACTCTGGGATTCTCTGGGAAAGGAGAGACCAAGAGGACATGGATTGAGGGCAGCTGCGGCCACATGAGGGGCAATGGTCCCTGCTGGTCATGTCTGGTACCAAAACCACCCTTTTCTACCCAGTGTTGGACAGGACTTGGAGCAGCCTGGTCTGGGAGAAGGTGTCCCAGCCCATGGCAGGCATTGGAACTGGATGATCTTGAAAGTCCCTTCCACCTAAAATTTTTCTGTGATTCTGTGTTTCCGCCTGCAGCAGCTGCACTGCAAATCTCAGGTTCTTCCCCATCCATATTCTCTGGTTTCTTGTGGGGCCAGGAAAATTAATTTTCCCAACAGAAGGAAAAGTTCATAGACTGGGAAGCAGCAAGGGTGGTTAAGGGTCCCGATTTAAGATCGGTTGTGTGATCCCAGGAAATTCACATTTCCTGACTGTATTTCCAATATTTTGCCAGATTTGCACATAGGAAGATGCAACACGAGGTAAGGGAAAAGTCAGAAAGTTTTTTGTGAGGGCAGAACAAGCACAGAACCTCTTTGTGGTCCCAGCCCAGGCTGCTCTACCCACCCTTCACCCCAACTCCGAAGTGTGGGTGCAGGAAAATGCTCTCCTTTCTCCCTGCAAACAACTCTGGGATGCACCAGGCATCGCTGGCAGGAGCTGGCAGGAATCCCACACTCTGAGTCTTTTGAGAGCAGAAGAGCTCAGCAATTAGCAAAATAACAAAAAAAAAAAAAAAAAAAGAGAGAGAGAGGAGAGAGACTCAGATGCATTTTTGATGCTCTGAAGTTGCTGAGATTTTTAAACAAACAATCTGGGACTGCTCCCACACTCTGGGAGAGGTCTGGGCTCCAGCCATGTGGCAACAGCACCATCGTATGGGAATCTCCAATCCCTGCAGCCCTCGGAATTTTCTCCATCGACTCCTCACTCTACAGACGAGATCAGCACCGTGGTGGGATTTATTTTCTGCTGTGCATTGATTTCATGGTTGTCAGCAGGAATGTGTGGGATGTAAAGGTGAAGTTTTCCTCCAGGGCTGGTCAGGCTGGCTCTGGAAATCAGAAATCCCACATTGGAATCACTGGATGTTTCATTCTTGTGCCCAGACCCTTGGAGAAATGCTCAAGGTCAAACAGACTCCTTGCTCCTTAAACTTTTGTGTTGCACCCTGGTTGTACCTGTGTGCATCCACAGATCCGAAAAACTTTGCTTGGGATGCAGGAATTCCAAGCCCTGTATGGTGCTGGAGGAAAAAGAGGCACAAAGAAAGGAAGGATCGAGCCAAAGGTCCCTGAGAAGCTCAGTGACAGAAACCCAAACCCCTTCCTGCATCCTCTCAATATCCTGCCCCTAATGGCAACCCCAGCCTCCGTTAGTGGGCTCTGGAATTCCAGCAGGAATGCATCCATGTGCTCTGAAGCTCATTTGAACAGCAAACCTGGATATAAATCCTTGGGGAGGGAGGTGGACCATGACATGGAATGGTGTTAAATATCTGCAAATGTGGGAGCTGAAGCTACTCTGTGCTGGCAGTCAAGGGCACCTCTGGAGCAGCTGGAATAATTTTTTCCTACTGCTGGATCAGCATCATTGATGTCCATCCCAGGACAGAGGAAAGTGGAAAACAGCCAGGAGATGGAGAAGGCTGAGATAGGGGACATCCTGTGTGTTTTCCATAGAATCATGGAATGGTTTGGGTGGGAAAAGACCTTCCAGGTCATCTTGTCCAACCCCCTGCCATGTCAGGGACACCTTCCACTTGACCAGGTTGGTTCTGTTGTCCTGTTGTGGCCTTGGACAGGTCCAGAGATGGAGCCACAGCTTCTCTGGGAAACCTGTGCCAGGGCCCCACCACCCTCAAAGGAAGAATTCCTTCCCAATATCCAGCCTAAACCTATTCTTTCATCCATCCATCCATCCATCCATCCATCCATCCATCCATCCATCCATCCTTCCTTCCTTCCATCATCCATCCATCCATCCATCCATCCATCCATCCATCCATCTCTGGGAGCATGTCTACATCTCTTCCTTTTGAAATCTTTCTCTCCCCTTATCAATCCATCTGTTATCCTGCCCATCCAATTCCATGCCTCATTTGGGATCCACACTTCCCACCTCACAGAAAAGTCTATGATGGGATTTGCCTGACTCCCAGCTGGTGACTTAATCTCATTTATTCCCCACCCATTCTGATTTGGGACAGCTGAATATTCCTGAGTCTGGATTCCCAGCAACAGCCATCAGAAATTCCCCTTTGGATGCCTAAAATTGGCCACTAAAATCCCTTCTCTAACATCCCACAGCCTCACAGCCTGGGCAGATTTGCAGACAGTGCTTCAGGCAGCATCAGCTCTCTGTTAACACCACCCAGGAGTGGAAACGGCAATAAAATTCCCATTTTAAGCACACACAGGGACTTCAGAACATCCTGGAAAGGAGTTACAGGCACAAGCATGCTGAGAAAACAACTCAGAGCTCAGCTCAGCTGAACTGCCCCATCCCTGGAACTAAGGCCAGGCTGGACCAGGCTTAAACTTGGCTTAGGCCATGGCAGGGGTGTGGAATGAGATCATCTTGAACACCTTTCCAACCCAAATAATTCCATGATCCTGTGATTTTAATATCTGTGCCATCCTACAAGCTCCCCTACAGATGACCAAGAAATCGGAGAAACTTCCTTTTGACGTCTCTCTGTCCAGATTTTCCAGGAATCCTCTCACCTTTTTTTCCTCAAATTTGCAGTTCGTGGCTGCTCCTCGATGTGATCCATGACTCCATGATCTGTACCATGATCCATCATCATTTTCCTGACACCAGGCAGGAGCAAATCATCCAGAACCAGGACAGAGCAAGTAATCAACTCCTGTTTCCCCCTTCCCAAACAGAACTCCAGACCTGTCTCCATCAGGAATCCACAGTGACGGCAAAAAAATATTTTAAAAAACCAAATTCCAAGGGATTTTCAGATATCTTGAGATTTCCAGAGGAAATTTCTATGCAGGCAGAAGAACTGGCGATTTTATAACCTCAGGAACAGAAAACAACACCTCATACACCCAGTCCTGTGGATAACTGTGTGTTCATGCACGTGGAATTATAACGGGCTATGTTTGCCATCTTCAGGAGTCAGGCAGGAATTGCAGTTCACTTTCCCAAAACACAGTGAGAATCAACAATTTATGTAAGAACACAGGAATTCCTGGGATCTCACACAGCCTCAGGCAAGCAGGACTGGGGGATGGAGAAGCTCTCAGCTGTCAATTCACTCACAGCACCACAAGTTTTGAGTTTTTCTAGCTGATGTTAGAAAAAGAATACAAACAGTGGCACTGGGAAAGATGGAAAGAGTTTTTCTTCCTTATCAATGCTTTTTAAAACAAATATTTAATTCCAGGCCTTAATGGATTTGATAGGGAATGGTTTTTTCCCCTTGGCCCTGTTCTTCCTTACCATAAAAAGCCAAACCCTACAGGGATAGTTCTAAGGGATTAAAAAATAAAAATAACCTTCAATACCTCTGAATGAGGAAGTCCAGAGTCTGAAAAAAATATTGTGCTTTTATTCATAAAACTTGGCTATAAATGATATGGTCTGTAAAAATATGATGAGGTAGAAGCCAATAGGCACAGAAAGATGATGTTAGGGTGCTTTTTTAGGCTTTTTTTTACACAGAAAGGTGCAAGTGGAAGTGGTCACAATCCCCATGGAGGAATTAGGATTTGTCAAATCACCTCCTGCAACAAAGTCAGGGCAGGAGTTTTAGTCTGTATCCTTCATCCCACAGCCACTGATAAATGATCCACGTGCACACCTTTTGGAAAAGTCACATGGGAATAAATGCCTGAAGGAGAGAAATGCACAGCGCTAATCCCAAAATCCGGGGGGGGGGGGCAGGGGGGGAGGAAATTACAAGTTGAATTTAGCAAAAAAAGCCCTGTTTTCTTTTGCCCTAGCATGTCCTGAGAAGTGGTCACAGGATGTGAGGAATGGGAGAGGACTCTGCTCAACCCACGAGAGCAAACATTCGCACTCGAGGCTGGAATGTGGCTGAACTCACCCTGTCTGTGATGGGGAAGTGGCATTTTATGGACAAGCCTGGGTTGTTGACTTTGCATCTGCTCTGAGCCAAGTGTCCAAACTTGTACCCAGCCTATGCCAGACAAGAGCACACAAAGAGAACCAAGCCACAGAGGAAACATCTCAAAACGCCAAACAAAACCCAGCACAAAGACCCTGTGGGTTTCAAACATCAAAAATAAGAGTTGGCCATTGCTTTGTAAGAGAAAACAAACGCAAAGGAGGGCGAATGAACCCCTCGGTACCTGGAAATGCCAATGCACTTTTAATTTGCCCACATACCTCCCTACCACATACCTTGTTATCACGAGTATCACTCACACGGGCAGATAAATACCCGGAGCTGTTGATTCAAAGAACATTTTGTCCTCAGTTTAAACACAATGGCTCCACTCAGGGTGGCACTGGGGGCGGAGAGCCTCGTTCACAGGGTGCCACCGCAGCCTCAGTGGCTCTGAAGAAATGCATAAGGCCGGCCTTGTTCGGAAGAATTTGGGGCTTTTTCCACTCCTGTGAGCACTTTGCCCAAGGGTAGGAGGGAAGAATCTGGGGCTTTTTCCACTCCTGTGAGCACTCTGCCCAAGGGTAGGAGGGGAAGGCAGGGGTGGAGGGGAGCCCAGAGAGTGGCAGGGGAAAGAGGAGAGGCACCAAACGCAAATATCCCAACGCCACAAAGCAACCCCTCCCTTGGTGCCGCCAGCAGTTCCCTCACTCAGGTGCCTTCTCAGGGATGACCTTGTGGGCACGCCCGGCCTCCCAGGATATATAACCTGCCCCAGGAGCAAACAAGCCAGAGAGGCAGCCCCAAGACAGGTTGTTCCAAGATGAAGACTTTCCTCGTGCTCCTGCTGGGAGCGCTCCTGTGCGTGGACTCAGGTAAGAACCCACAAAAGATCTGCCCCCCATCCCTCCCTGCAGGTTTTCAGACTGGAAGGAGGATTTGTGGTGGGGTTTGGAAATGAGGGAAGAGAGTTTGGCACGTTGTCATACCAAGGCGTTTCCCTTCGGATGAGTGTTGAGTGGGAATAATGCACATCCCACATGGGGATGGTGGGATCTGAGTGATGGGGAGAGAAGCTTCCAGGAAAGATAACTCCTGAATCCTGAATCAATCAAAATTAATTTTTTTTTCCCAGCCAGACCATATAGTTAAGGGGGAAGGGGAGGGGCTAAGTGGGGTGGGAGGATTATTTTCCTTCTTTCCAGGCTATCAAAAATGCAACATTTACGCAATGTTTTCTACCAACTTTTTTTCTGACTCTTCCTTTCAAATGCAGACCGTGACTCTGCTCAGATTTCCAGAATTTTAGTGGGACAGTAAAAATGACTGTGCCATGATGTGTTATTTTATAGACTGAATGGGTGGGCTTTAGATAATATCAGATTTTTATAGCTTCAGTAAGAAGGAAAAAAAATGGGTTTAAAGCAGCTTCTCCCTATTACCAGAGAAGAGAAGAATCAAATTTGGGGAGTTTCTCAATCAGCAGAGGATGCTTAAGGAACAAGCTGTGAATGGTCTTGCACAGCCCTCAGACCTTTCTCTCTGCCGGCTTCCATCAGAACACTAAAAATTTGACTTTTATTGCTTTAAAAGTCAGATCAGTGTGAGAACAGTGCAGCACAAATTGAGGGTTGGCTCCTCACCTCTGTGACTGCATCAGTCATTTGCAACAGAGAGGATTGGACAGAAGGAGACCAAGTGCCTCAAATTAATTCCTTCAATCACTAATTTCCAAACAGGTCTTTCCAGTGTCCTAAAAGAGTATTGAGATGCAGGTTTGATGGTCATGGGGCTCAAGGAAATTTATTTATTTATTTATTAATTAACTGACACTTGCAAGGCTCCAGTGACACCCTGGGGCACAAGTAGCTGACAGGAACAGGTAATTACACCACAATCTCACTCCTCTGGGGACAATTTTTCACCAGGGCCATTTGCTTGGGAGGTGCTGTGTTTTCCCTGCCTTTGCTGGATGCACAGAGCAGCCCAGCAGGTGTGCCCAGTACTGATTTCCATCCCCTCTGGAGTGACATTTCCACAAGGGGTGGTCAGAGAGGGTTGAAAGCCATTTGCACTTTGATTTCCAGGAGGGTGTGATGGAAAGGGCGAGTCAAAAGTTAAGAACTGAGACAAGGGGCTGGAAGAGACTTTGCAAATTCCTTCTTCATCCCTCACTCAAGGCAAGGTCAGATGGGGCTTGCAGAAACCTGGTCTGGAGGGATGTGTCCCTGATGATCCTTCCAACCCAAACCATTCCATGATCCTCTTCAAGCCCTGCTGTCCCTCTGCTCTCTTTTTGCTCCCTCACTGCACTGACTACATCCAAAACATCTCCAGCATCTGCCAAACCTGGCTCCCACTTCAACCAGGTATATTATTATCCACAAAAAATAAAAAATAAAAAAGGAAAAAAAAAAGAAAAAAAAATTCCCAAACCCAAAGCAGAGAAGATATCTTCCTTTGAGGATCCCCAGATCCCCAGAATTTGTCCTGTTCTGTTTCCCTGTGGTTGAATTCTCTGGAAAGCTTTGGATAGATTGAAGATACATAGATACATGAGAGGTGTAGAATTGTTCCCCACCTGCAGGGCTGGGTCCAGTTCTGGGGTCCAGCATCAGAAGGACGTGGAGCTGCTGGAGCAAGTCCAGATGAGATCACAGAGGTCTCTATGAGGGTCTCCATGCTCCGAGAGCTGGAGTCTCTTTCCTCTGGAGCTGGGAGAGCTGGAGGTGCTCACCCTGGAGAAGAGAAAACACTGGGGAGACCTTACAGCCCTTTTCAGTGCCTAAAGAGACTCCAGGAGAGTTGGGGATAAATTTTTAGGAGGTCCTGTTGGGATAGGATAAAGGGTAATTTTTTAAAATTAAAAGAGGGTGGATTTAGGTTAAGTATAATTAAGACATTTTTTATAATGAGAGTGGTAAAAAAAAATCAGGCTGCCCATGGAAGCTGTGGCTGCCCCATCCCTGGAAGTATCCATGTCCAGATTGAATGAGGCTTGGAGCAACCTGGTCAACTGGAAGTTGTCCCTTCCCACAGCAAAGTGGTGGAACTTGATGATTTTAAAGTCCCTTCCAAGCCAAACCATTCCATTATTCCCTGATTTCTCTCCTAACCCCTCTTGGTCTCCTGCAGGTTCATCTTTGCAGTGCTACAGCTGCACCTCCCAGCTCAGCAACTCCAAGTGCCAGACGGTGAAGACGTGCGGAGAGAACAACATGTGCAAGACGGACGTGATCCGTAAGGAAAAGCGGGGGTGGGAAATGTCTTATCTGGGATGGTGGAGCCAAACCTCTTCCCAGCCTCAGGTGCCCCATCCAGGCTCACCCAGTCTGGATACACCAGGTGGTCTGGGCCAGCAAACCTCAGTGTGCAAGTGTCTTTCACCTGTGCAAAATTAGGTTTATTTCTCTTTCACAGCACCAAAAATTATTTGTTTGCAAGGGAAATGGTTAATTTGTTTTGCAATACTTGCAAACATGAATTAGGATGGGAGGGGCTGAGCCTGGTCCATCCTGGTTGTGAAATTAGGAGGTGCTGATTTGAGGTGAAATCGATGAAAATGACAAAATTTAATCTCTGTGGGAAAACATGAAAAACTAGGATTTTATCCTTCTGTCCTAAATCTGGTTTGCCCTGTCCCAGGTGTGCCAACAACTGAGTTGCTCTTGAACCTGGGGCACAAAACTCATCAGTGCCACATTTAAGCTCCCCTCTGTCAGGCAGTAGATGGGATGCCTCCAGTAGGAATTATCCCGGTTGGAAATGTGGAAATCCATGACGTTCACATGCAGGAGGGCCAAGATGTTGTAGGACTCTTTGTTATTTATTGCACGTGGCAAAGATTTGGTGCCCATAATGGATTTTAGATCTCCTGGAGGAGAATGGGTCAAATCTCCTAGAGGTCAAAATCTGCTGGTAACCAGCAGTTGCCAAAAACGGCTAAAAAGATGGGCTGTGCCTCTCAGAAACAAATCAAACAATATCTGTGCCATCTGAAATGGGAATAGCCATGTTTCCATAATTTCCCAGGTGTGGAAAGGCTCCATGCAACAAAGATGTTTGGGATTGGGCTTCACGTGAGAGAGTGCAGGGTTAGATGTGATATTAGGAAGAAATTACTTGCTTTGAGGGTGGTGAGGCCCAAAGAAACTGTGGCTGCCCCATCCCTGGAATTGTCCAAGGTCAGGTTGGACAGGGCTTGGATCAGCCTGGCCTAGTGGAAGGTGTCCCTGAGCATGAGATGATCTTGAATGTCCCTTCCCAACCCAAACCATTCTGTGATTCTGCCTTTTGTCCCACAGAACGAGCATCCCGCTATTCAGTTCCACAAGGCTTGCCTTGTGGAAGGCTGAATCTTAGGCTAAGCCTAATGGTCCTGCTTTCCTCCCAGGGGTCGTGGGGCTCTTCAGCATCATCAGCAAGGGATGTGACTCCTCGTGTGACCCATCCTACCAGGACTTCAACGTGGGCAACAGGAACATCTCCTGCTGCAGCAGCGACCTCTGCAACGCCAACGCCGCGGGCAGCGTGAGGTCCAGCTACGGGCTGGCCGGAGGGATAGCGGCCGGAGTGGTCTGGACCATCCTCAACAACAAATTCTGAGGAGCAAAGATGCCTCCCATGACCACAGAGAGTCTCAGAGCACCCCTCTAATAACAGGAATCCTAACCAGGAGCAGTGGGGTGTGTTGGGCACCCAGCACCCCGCGAGCTGATGGCAACTCTTTGCCATATGATGGCTTCTGCTTTAATCTCATTGCAAAGGTCCTGTGCTACCAGATAAGGAAAGGTGTGTTCATGTTATCTGCAAAACACCTAAAATAAAGTTATTTCTCCACCAACCGTGTCTATCACTCAGTCATCTATTTCTGCCCACGGCAGAGCTGCAGGTGGGTGTTTTATGTCTGGCCAATGCCCAGCCTAGGTCATTGCTGCGCAATGTGACCTAAAGTCCTTTTTATGACCAGGTAACCTCCCCAGAGGAGAAGGGAAAAGCTACAGATATATCTCCCTGGAGTTCAGGGAAGCCTGTGATGCTTCTTCCCATGACGTTCTCCTGGAAGAACTGGCAGCCCAAGGTTTGGGAATGTGCACTCTTGGTTGAGTTAAAAACTGGCTGGATTCCAGGCACAGAGTGGTGGGGAATGGTGCCACATCCAGCTGGTGGCTGGTCACCAGTGGTGTCCTTTTGGGATCAGTAATGGAGTCAGTCCAATATATTTATTGATGATCTGGATGGGGAGGTCAAGACCACCCTCTGGAAGTTCATGGATGACGCCAAATGGGGTGGAACGTTGATCTGCTGGAGGGCAGGAAGGCTCTGCAGAGGGATCTGGACAGGCTGGATCAGTGTTCCAAGGCCAGTGGTTTGAGATTGAACAACACCCATGGGGTGTCTGAGTACAAGGCAGACTCTAACATCTCTCATAAACAGTAACAGCCCCTCTCTGTGGCTATAAATTCAAAGTTATTCCATGCCTTTTCCAGCTGATTTATTTTATGGACATAAACTCAGGTGTTCCCACCTGGCATTGGGAGATCAAAGGCAGCAGGAAAAGCTCTGTACAAAGAGGCCTGAGAGAAACTCTCAGGGGTGTTTTCCAAGCTACATCCACGTGGAGAGATCTGGTAAAAAAAATGAGGAAAACATAGAAAGTGAATCTGGAAAAGCCCTGGGTGGGAGAACAGGATTTAAGGAGCTGTGAAGTCAGGACAGCAGTGGTTGGAGGATTAAAAGGGGAGGGACACTCGCCAAGAGCCCCAAATTTCTCTCTTCTACCTTAAAACCTACTGGAGCTGCCAAGGATGTGGAGATCGACAGGCTGAAATAACAGGGAATCATTTCCCTGGGGGGGGATGAGTCACCTGGAGGATCCATAGCCATGGGACAAGGGTCAAAGTCCCATATGGGATGAAGTCAAAGGAGCTAATGACACCATCTGCTGTTGTGAAAAGCTCATAAAGCCTCAGGATGCCAGGCTATTTGTAAGGAAGCTGCTAATTGTAGGAAGCTGGGAAGGGGTTTCCCCGGAGGAAATCAAGAATGAGCCACCTTGTTTATAGGAATCCAATCTGGTTATTGGTGAAGGGAGGATTTGGGACAAGTGCAGTGATTTATTCTGGCTTTTCCAAACCTCCTGAGTCATATCCCTGAAAAGAGGCTTGTCCAGCTGTAAGTCTTCCAGTCAGGCTGTTTTCTGCATGGGTGACCAACTCCATGAGCTCTCCATTCCAGGGAATCTTCTCCTTGTGCTGCAAGGATGTCCCTGACACCCTTAATGCCCTGTGTCCACTTTCTGAAACAATTCCACATCCAGACATCATTCCCAACAAGCAATTTTGCTGCTGTGGTCTTTTCTGTAAACTGGGAATTTAAGAGGCCAAGGCATGGTGGCACCAGAGCCATTGGAGTCCTCAGGGAAATTGGGTCAAACAGCCTCTTCCAGCTTCTGGAGCAGTCAAACACATTCCTAAAATCATGGAATGGCTTGGGTTGGAAGGGACCTTGAAGATCATCTCATTCCACTGCCCTGAAATGGGCAGAGGCACTTTCCACTAGACCAGGTTGCTCAGATCCCCATCCAACCTGGCCTTGAACACTTCCAGGGATGGGAATTATGGTAATTTGTCCCCAAAATATATATTTATAGAGTATAAATTTGGGCTGTTCAGCTCTGATTTAACATTTTGGTCCCACGGCAATGCCATCTACTTCCTCAAGCATGTAATTGTGGAGTTTCCTCCCAGAGCCAAGAGGTGGCTTTCCCAAGCTCTGTTGGTTGAGACCCAGTGTCTAAACACTCAGAGGCTCAAGGGATTATTTCTTCTCCCAAATTCTGCCCTGAAGGAGTCCAGGACTGACCACTGAGTGGTTCTCATCTGGATTTACCCAGAGATAAATCCTCTCTGTGGATGTATCTGGAAGTTGCACAGGTAGGACGGCATGGAGCACCTCTCCTATAAGGAGAAGCAGAGAGAGTTGGGGTTGCTTAGCCTGAAGAAGGGAAGGCTCTGGGGAGAGCTTTCAGTGCCTAAAGGGGCTCCAGAAGAGCTGGAGAGGGACTTTGGACGAGGGATGGAGGGACAGGACACAGGGAATCGCTTCCCACTCTCAGAGAACAGAGTTAGACAAGATATTGGGAAGAAATTTTTCCCTGGGAGGGTGCTGAGGTCCTGGTACAGGTTTTCCCAGAGAAGCTGTGGCTGCCCGATCCCTAGAAGCATCCGAGGCCAGGTTGGATGTGGTTTGGAGCAACATGGGATAGTGGAAGTTGTCCCTGCCCATGGTGGGGGGGTTCCAGCCCAAGATATTCTGGGATTTTCCATTATTTGGTGGTGAGATAGTTTAGAAAAGGTGCAGCTGGGAGAGGCCAAGACTGGGACAGAAACAGGAAAGAGCTGGGCAGGAGCCCCCTGTGGAACTGATGGCACCTGGCACAGCACTTGGAATATCTACTGTCCCTCCAGGTCACTGACAGAGCAGCCTCAAAAACAACCCTCTGGTTTTTGGGAGGGCAAGGAGGTGGCAAACTGGGGCAGATAAATGACTCAGCTGCGGATCAGAACCTGGGCTGGGCCAGGGCAGGACCAGGAAGAGAACGAGATGTTTTCTTGAGGGCTGTGACTGCACCTTGGCAGAAAGATTGGTTCTCCCTCCTGCTTTAAACCTATCATAAATCTCAACAGGACTCTGGGTCAGGTCCCTCTGCTCTGCCCTGAACCCTCTGTCACCAGCTGTGCTCTGTTGGTGCAGAAATCTGTGATAATTTACATTTTGGGTGCTGATAAAACATCCTGAGAGCTGCTGCAGGACACACAAGCACAATATTCATCTGAAAAACAAGGCTGGGTTTATTTTGCCCAAGGAAGTTGCTTCTTGAACAGTTTTATCAATTCTTCTGTCCTCTCCACACTTCTCAAATTTGAGAACAGGGTCTTAAAAAACTCAAGTGTCCCAGGCTGGGTTGGATGGGGCTTGGAGCAATCTGGTCTAGAAGAAGTTGTCCTTGCCCACCACAAGATGATCTTGAAGGTTACTTCCAAATCAAACCATTCCATGATTCTAAGGTTTCATGAATTCTCTTTTGTCGCAGACATCTTTTTTTGAAAATCCTTTTTTAAGATTTTTTCTTCCTGAGAAGCTGAGAGACTCCAGGAACAAAATGTAGACAATGGTTATCTGCTGCTGTGGAATGCATCAAGTGGATTTTTGATTGGCCCATCTTGGATGTGTATAATCAATGGCAGAGTCCAAGACAGCTGCCTTTTGTTATCATTCCACTCCATTCTATTCTTAGCTTAGGTAGCCTTCTGAGATGAAACTTTTCCTTCTATTCTTTAGTATAGTTATAATGTTAATTATATCATAAAATAATAAATCAAGCCTTCTGAAATATGGAGTCAGATCTACGTCTCTTCCCTCATCCTGAAAACCCCCGTGACCACTGTCACACACTTTACTCCTGGTACAATTAACCAATTATTCACCATCCTTGTGGATAAGGATTAGGCCACCCAGTATTTCCTACAGCATGTTAGAATTTACATTACCAGTCTGAAAAAGTTCCTCTGAAACCAACCCAATTTGCAGCAGTTGATTAAAAACTGGATTTAAACCACTGGAGAAAGTCTGTGGATAAGCTGGACTTAGGGACCAGCAGTTCCTAGTTGTGCTCCACATTTCCTTTATGGCCCGGGGCGAGTTCCACAGCATTTCCATTCCTCTGCCTTGTTCAGATGTTATCAGGTCAAACACACTCAGAGATGTTCAGATAGTGACTTTAACTGGCCAGGGGAGAGATTGAGGCTAAAAATGATCTCACAGAGCCGGCTGGGGAAGGCTCACCCCGCTCCCAGCCCGCCCTGCCCAGCCACACTCCTGCTCTGAATCATGCACGTGTTGCTGTGCAATGAAGGTGCTTCTGGAGATAAATAGAACAGTTAGCTCTCCTCCACCTCGAATTAAATTAATGGTTTTCTGGCCTACCTAAAAACAGAGGCCAGACAAAATTAAGAGGATAAAAAGCAGTTATATTTATTGAAAGGCTTTCAGATACATTTTGGGCAGACGAAGCCCACCCAGGGGCTACACCCAAAAAACCAGATAATGGGTCATAGGTTTTTATACTTTTATAAGTTTGGTCCATTTGCTTATTGGGGGTTAATCCAATTACAGCTTAGGTAATGAAGTAATTTACCCTAAGTTTGCGCCTCCCAACTCACTTTTGTTTGTATTTCTCAGGGCCTGAGACAGTGAGTTGTCCTTGATTTCCAGGCCTGGAGAGAAATTGTTTTGTCTGACCAAAATGGGAAAGCAGTAGCTAGCAATGTATATGGACTTTAGAGTTATGCACTAAAGAATTACAGGATTACAAATACATGAAAAACACAAAATCTTAAATCCTAAGGCATCATTACCACTAAAAACCAATCCAAGTCCCTGCCCTTTGCAGGAATGTATAAAAAATACATGCAAAATATAAAAGCTTAAATCCTAAGGCATCATTACCACTAAAACCAATCTGAATTCCTGCCCTGTGCAGAACTTCCCTTGATGAATTGTAGCTGCCTCTCATGCAGGACAAGCCAAGTTCGTTCCATGGC